ATTAAATGTCTTGCTAACTTTAGCTTTCAATTTCCTCACACTCATCTTTGGTTTTTGGAGTATCCCATTCATAAAATGATTCCCTATCCATTTATAGCTAACAATGGACCCAAATTTGAAGACTCTTAAGCAATTATGGTTATCAATTAAAGATTTAATCTGGAATGACCTTTTGTTGCTCATCCATGTTTCCCACAACCTAAAGGGACAACCTTTATTCTTCTTATTCTTCTTCTTACATTTACAACATTTCACCAGTAACCTCTTATGATCACTTTTTTTATACCATAAATCATACTCATTCTTCACTGCATAATTGGTTAGACATAGTTTAATTGCATTGGGTTAGCAAACTTCATACCGACAATTGGCACCATCTTATCTCATTTTTGTTTCTTATCATGGACAAGGAATACAACCTTATCATCTTTTCCAAACGTAGGTTCATCATCATCACTAAGCTTACCAATAACTGAAAGTTTGTTTAAAAATTCATCACCGACAGTTTTGTTAAAGGTATGGACTTCTTCATCAACTTCTTGTTCATATGCCATAATATCATCAAAGTTATCATCTTCATCATTGTCATCCTCTTCTTCCTTGTCATCCTCTTCTTTGTTGTCATCCAGTTCATACCCATTACCATCCGATAACAACTCATTTTCAGCCCAATCAAGGATTGGATCATTTTGGTGGCCAATGTAGACATCCAACTCAACATCAAGAGTATAAGTAGCTTCAACAAACTCTCAATAATCTGGATCACTGTTGATACTTATAATACCCTCACCCAAGGTTTCCTTTCTACTACAGTAGTACACATTATCAGAACTTCCATTGGTTAAATTCCTAAGCTACAAAAGAAACTCTTTGTACGTAAATCCTCCAAAATCAACATCATACACTGTTATTTTTTTGGGGTCTAAGTATTTTAACGAATTTGGGGAAAAAAGTCCACTGTAATGAAAATCTACAGTTAAATACTTACCTGTAGATGATTGGGATGCCATCTTACAGTCGACTTCAACACCTAGCTTTAACTCCAAACTCTAATCTTCAATTTGATGAATCAAGTCTAATGGGAGGTGATTTTGGTGAAATTGAACTTGTTGAACCCTAATTAAATGAGAAAGGGGTGTAACGGCCACGTAAGAATCCGCATATTTCGTTTTAATTGAGATAAATTGATGCAACCGGGTAAAACATGTGAAAACAGGTGATAGCCGGCTATATTACCTAAATGTGAACATACAAAACAAGTTGGTTTCATTAATAAGTACAAAAAAAAACATTGCCTATATATGGACAATCAAAATAGTTAGTTACCTTGATAAGTCATTTTTATTGTGAATGGTATTTTTACATCATCCTAGGGCATGCCATCATAATAAATATTCACCGATTGATTTGAATGTTTCAAATTTATAGATCTTACTGTCATATACACAACTAAGATAGAAACCATCGTTTCAAGAAATATGTTTTCCATGTTATTACTACGAAGGTGGCTATCATTCACGAGTAGTTAAAATGTGATTTTTTTTAAATGGTCACAACAATATTATTTGTATTTTACATGTTTTTACTACGAAGAACGGTTATTTTCGTACCATACTAAAGTGTAGTTAGACTTTTTTCATACCATATTAAAGTGTAGTTAGACTTTTTTTCTTGTACCCATCAATTTCAACCTTGTTTAGTTCCGATTAATGACCCTAGATAGAAGGCAAAACAATTTCAATTTGATTGCATTGATTTATCACAACATCATCAATTAATATAGTTGACTTTAAGACTAAAGTGTTAATATATATATATATATATATATATATATATATATATATATATATATATATATATATATATATTAGATGTAAAACCCGTATAATATACGGATTGATTAAAAAAATAAAATATTAAAATGTAAACAATAAGTGTTTTTTAAAATAAAATTTTGAAATAAGGATGAAGAAACATATTAAAAATTGAAAAAAAAACCTTAAATTGACATGTGGATATTATTTATTTAAAATCTATACAAAATGACAAGTGTCAAAACCCCTTAAAGATTGACATGTAGCAAATTATCTTTATTTATTATAGTAGATTTTGAAATTAGAAGGAGAGTCGATTAATAAAATTGATATGTCTTTATTATTATATTTATTGCAATTAATATACTTTATAAAAATGAAACAACCACAAAATGCCATGTGGAAAAATTTTAAATTAAAATAACCACAAAATGACATGTGGTGTGTGACAAGGGTAAAAAAATTCTTTATTTATTAGGGAGGAGGTGGGAAAGATTCAATATGATATTATTCGGCAAATAAGACAACCTAACTACAACACAATAGGTCAATGAATACTTTCAGACCTAAAATCTTTCTATTCTAATAAAAGATTAATTTTATTTTTCTTTTGTCATTTGGCATCCTAATTAATATCATGTCACTTGTCAACTTATTGATTTTCCATTTCAAATTTCAAAATTTAAATTTCCTACTCTAATTACATTTATTTAATAAAATTAAAAGTAAGACTAAAAATCAATTAATACAAAGTATAAGGTGATATAATTTCACATGTTTATTTAAATCAACGATTATAATTTTATATAACTAAAAAAATATCTCTTAAATAATAATTTATTTAAAACAATTTATTAATAATTTTGAGTTTTTATTATGAAATTTAAATTAATTTTGTAACCGTGGTTCCCACATGTTATAAACTAATCCGTTTATAAATTGAGTTTTTAGTAAGTTAGACATTTCCTTTAAACTAAAAACCTACAAACACGGAGACAAAGATGTTGTTAGGGAAAACAGACGATACTTGTCAAGACTTAGAACAAATCTGATGCCACTCGCCAAGTTCTGATGACCCTTGTTAAGAAGTAACACGGATAACAAGAAAAACTAAAAGCACACAAAGACACAATATTACGTGGTTCGGTCAAGGCGACCTACGTCCACAGGCAAGGAAGTGGGTATTCTATATTTCAGAATTCTCAAACATCAGTTACAATTACAATTCACTAGAGATTCGTCCTACCCAGTCAAGATACAAGATACAAGACACAAGACCTCAAATGACTCTGCATGTATCCTTATTTATACTTGAGGGATCAGACCTAAAACCCTAATGGGCTAAGCTCATTGGCCTATATGCCCATGATTGGTGAAAATCAATCATTTTTTGCCATGCAACATCTTCTGGAAGATTCTTCCATGTCATAAAACCCATGAGCATCAACAATACACATGATGGAGCACCTTGTGCCATAGCGGGAACATCATGATGTACAAGTGACGTATCATGAACACTAATGGCCCAACATCCATCATGATGGCACAGCATGGTGTAATCCTTGAGCAATACCAACTTCTGAGCATATTTGAACGAATTTAAGCATCATAGAGGACTTCATAGCATACTTTGATCATAAGGGATACCATGGCTCATCAAGAAACCAAAATGGCCCATCTTGCACCATGATGGCGCAACATGTGCATAGATAGCACACCAGGCTTCAAGTGTGGCATGAGAACATCAAGATTGGAGTACCAACACCACCTTGGTTCAAGAGAAACATGCATGGCACAACAAGGTTATGCATGACGCAAGAGCATACTTAATGGCTCAACAGGAGTACCCTATGGCGCACGAGGAACCCCTCATGGCGCAAGAGGGAGCATAATGGTGCAAGAAGGAATTTCCTTGGTGAAACAACATCCTTCTTGGACCATCCCTTCAACATATAGCGTAACAAGGTTCCCTTGTTGTTCCATATCACTCCCAATTGCTCCAAACCTCCTTCTATATGATCCGTTCCTTTGGCACTTGATCTATTCCTTTGTCTGATGATCCATTCCCTTATCAGATGATTTGTTCCTTTGTCACATGCTCCATGAACCCCAAGTGCTCTATTGAGTTCCAAGTGCTCCAAATGCTCCATAAGAATTCCCTAAATTCTCCATAAGCATGATCCAAGTGCTCGAGTCACATTTAACAATCTCTACCTTGACTTGAGCATACTCTATGATCCACCTCAAATAAGAACTTCCTCTCCCATCCTGCCATCAATCCCCTATGGGGCTTACCTCCTGAAAACATCAACCAAGTCCAAGCAAAGCTTGAAGTTCTCTCTGGGCAACATCCGTGTCACCATGTCTTTCGGATTCCCCTTGGCACCAAAATTTTGAATGCATAACCTTTCATAGAACATGATAGGTTTCTCCACCTTCAAAAGAAGACTTTGAACAAGACCAACCACCAACGATCTTCTTATCTCCAGATCACTTTCATGGTCCAAGTCTATCAATTCAACCAAGTCTGTATATCGCGCATTAGCACCATACGCTAGAAAAACATCAAGTGTTCCGTTTAAGTGTCACAAGATCCATTTGGCCACTTACCCAATGAGCTTTTCCCTAATTGCCTCGAACCACCAATGAAGTGGCAACAAGTTTGGACTAATCACAATAGAACGACCGCAAGAATTTCTCAAAGTAATGATAAATGTATAACCATCTTGCTCTTCGCAAATCTCCATTCTTGCTATCTTCTTTTGAGCTTCTAAATCGTTCATCACAAACGTTTTCTCCACAAGCATCTTTAATTTGTCTTTCCCGACATCAACATCACTAGACACTTCTTCCCTTGGTTCAATAAGGGATTCCTCATGCCTATGCTGATCCATGCCACCATGCTGTTCCAAATTTATCACAAAACTATGTGGGGTTCTATTTCAAACTCCACCTTCTGGCTAGCATCCAGATCATTCCCCACACCACTTGTACCACTTCCTCTCTGGTAATAATGAATTTTGGAGTTTGATCTTATGTACAACATAAATGATTATCTTTCCCTCCAGATCCATATCCTAGAAATATACACTTCATTTCCCTACGCTCCAGTTTACAATCACTCACACGAGCATAAGCAAAGCATCCAAACATTTGTAAACCAGTGTTCTTATAGAGTTTCCGAGACCACACCTCTTGAGGATTCCTACAACCAGTTGTCGTTGATGGAGATCTAGTCGATAGATAGCAAGCAGTGTCAGCTGCTTCTGCCCAGAATTGCTTCGATAAATCAGCAGATAATCGCATGCGCCACCAGTGTTTTGTTCATCCGCTCTGCTACTCCGCTTTGTTGTGGTGTTAGGCATATAGTGAGATGCCTTACTGTACCTTATGTTTTGCAAAAGTTGTCAAATGAAGTCTAGAAGAACTCCAACCTATTTTTTGTTCTAAGTGACCTGACATAGTTCCCGGTTTGTTTCTCAACCATTGTCTTCCACTCCTTGAACCACCCAAACACTTTATCTTTATCCTTTGTCTTAGAAAATACGCCCAGATCTTCCTTGAGTAATCATCGATAAATGCCACAAATTATAAACATCCACCATGAGACTTCACATGAGAGGGAACCCATATATCCGAGTGAACACACTCGATAATCTCCTTACTTGAGTGTTGAACCGAACTGAACTTCTCCCTGATTTGTCTCTCTTGAACACAAGCTCCACTAGGTTCAACTTTTGTAGTTGCATCTCCACCAAATAACCCCTTCTTGCTCACATGTCCCAACTTATGATGCCACAACATTGTTTCATCATCTTACTGATCCAAGGATTAGGATACCGTTACCGTTACCCCAATCGTACAACCATCTAGAATATAAAATCCCATGAGGATTCATCCTTCCATTCATAACTACAAGAGCACTGTAACATTCCGGAATATCAAGAGTAAAGTTGAAGGGCTAAAAGAGTAAATTGGGAAGGGGAACTCGGTGAGTCCATGGGTGGACTCGGCGAGTAGGGTCGCGACTTTGGTCGCGTGTTATGTGGTCGACTCGGCGAGTCAGCGGATGGACTCGGCGAGTAGGCGCTGAGTGGAGAAAACCCTAAATCCTGAGGATGAGCCCTATTTAAAGGACATTATACCCTCTCCTCAGCCTCTTTACCCTCTGTAGAAGTCCAGAAAGCCCTAAGGCA